TKKYCCMAWTYCCMMMRGRAAMMAAAMAAAMAAAAARWTTGTCAATKGACCAATTATGACAGGATAATCCTTTACGTATCCAGCCTAAGACTGACGTGTGCTTTTCATCAGCTTGTATCGAGCAGGAATCACAGAAAAACCTCCATTTCTGAACTGATGCACTTTGCCACAGTCACTTCAGCAGGTAAGTAAATTACACGGCCTGAGGCAACGGCTGCTGAATGAATAGAGCCTTTTTCATGTTCTCAAGGAAAAACTTCTCCCGGGGGACGTGGAATTTCAGGAGGGGTTCCCCTCTTACACACACACACACACACACACACACACACACACACACACACACACACACACACACACACACACACACACACACACACACTTTAAAAGTAAAAGTGTAATTTCACACTTCCTAGCCTGAGAAAAGCTGTTTGAACTGGATGAAATGTGGCCATTCACACGACCTGCATTTATATTATATATATATATATATATATATAAAAGAATGGGCTTTAAGCCAAGTAAGAAGTTTCCAAGTTATTTTTTTTACGCTTTAATAAGTTTGCAGAATGACACAAACACAATGGGGACTTACCGTTTTGCTCCTTCACACTTGGAAGGTGAAATTTGCTGACGTGACTTGATTCTGCTTCCGTGCCATATTGTTGGAGAAGCGATGCAAGGAGGAATACTAATGGAAGGATCATTTGGATGAGTGGTGGTTGGCGTTTCCAAAGCGCTGCTGCACACAGAATGGCTCGTATCAGCACAAACACGAGGGCTGATTTGGACGCATTTGGGAAGCACTGAATACAATCCGCATACTCTTAAACGTCAGGTTTTCAGAGAGAAAAAAAAACTATTTTTTAAACTAATGAGAGAGAACAAAGCCTCAGCAGAGCAACCAGAACTGCCTCTCCAGCGCTGTGCCARTGCGCACCTGTTGGCTCTGTGGAAACTTGTTGAGTTGAACAAAGTTTAGGCAGTTCAAATCCGAGCATTAGTTGGAAAATCGTCTTTATGCACGCGTATCATCTATGGCACAGGATGGTCAGAAACGCACGGACGCATTTTTCTTTTTTTTTGGCTGGAGCGCGCGCCCACGGTGCGTTCTGCTCTCCGTCCTGCAAATCCCCCCGCAGATGTTTCGGCATTAAAGCGAGTTAAAGCTCACACACAGAGGCGGCGAGGGAGTCCCGCAACCTGATCCAGCCTGTGGCCAGTAACCTTCCGCAACACCGAGACGAGTTCTGTTGTCTGGCGCGGTCTGGAGTCATAACTTGCTGGGGAGACTGAGATGAAATATCGCTGCGCGGACGGGGTTGGGTTTTTGGAGACTGGCAACTGACGGCACAACAGGTGCTACGCGTAAAGCACAACTTCCCAGTGAAAGAAACTCCCCTGGATATTAACCATTACGTTGCTGTATAATTTAATGAGGTGTTTTACTCTTTCTTGTTCTTTCCTCCCTTTCCACTTGAGCTTACAAAAATATTCGAGGCTTTTAAACAGGACAAAGTCAATCACAAACACATTCTGAAGGAGCAGCTATTATGCAAATTAGATCTGATTAAATCAGCCCTCTTTTTTTTTTACAATAATTATTGGAAACTATGTAATCAAACATAAAAAGGGTTATCCCGAATTATATTAAATGGTGAACTTTGAGATAATTTACTCCAGCAGTTTTCTGAAATGTGGGTCCACACTCAATATAAACAAAGCACTTGTCAGAGGCTTTTCTCTTGAATATACCCAGTGGTGGGCAGCACTAATCTAAATATTAGCTGCACTAACCCTGAAGTGATAACTCAAAAATTTAGGTCCCCTAATTCTAAAGCACTAATGCACTGAAAAATTTAGCAGAAGCTGGTTCTAAAGCACTAATGTAATCCAGTTGACACATGGAACATTCTTCAGAGTCAACATGACAATATTTACTGTGCACAGAGTTGGAATAATTTATTCATTTAGTAAAATGAGCTTTTTTGTTATTGTGGTCATGAGATATGAACAAAATATTGGTTGATTTGTATTTGTGTTGTGCTGTTTGTTGATTATTTGTAATTATATTGTGTATTAAGTTGAGTTTTATTATTCGTGTGTTGTATGGTTTTTTTAGATACATATATATTTTTGTAATTGGGGGCAGATGTTATAAGATTTTATTCTTCTTTCTGCTCCTTTTCATTTGACTACGTTGTGACTGTGTTTTTGACACAACGATGTTGTATTATTTGTTTGTTTCATTACTATTTGTTTGATTGTTGAATGAAATAAAGTTAATAAAAAACCAATAATAATCCAACTGTATAGCTAGACGTTGAAAACCAAAATAGTTGCTAACTATAGCTTTTAGCTGTGGCTAATTTAGTCATAG